TTTAAAATAATTTTGTTATACAAGTCAGCCTGAGGTATCAAAACTACTAAAATTTTCATGCGAGACAATATTTTGAATAAAAAGAGGACATGCTGGCTATCTACATGTAGATTGATGGGGACAAATTTTTGTTGTCATTGTGTTGCAATGTTGCTGTCATTTAATTTGTATAATGCAATCCATCCTGACATCAAAATATTGCTGATTTACTATGTGGCTATATAGATATACATAATAATGTGCAAATATGGTCAGTTTTTGTTGATGCGTTTAAATAATTTTGTTATACTAGTCAGCCTTAGGTATTAAAATTACTGAAATTTTGTTGCGAGACAATATTTTGAATAAAAAGAGGACATGCTGGCAATCTAAATTGATGGGGATAATTTTTGTTGTCATTGTGTTGCAATGTTGCTGTCATTTGTATTATACAATCCATTCTGACAATAAAATATAGCTGCTTTACTATGTGGCTATATAGATATACATAATATTAAAAGTGCAAATATGGTCAGTTTTGGTTGATGCTGTAAAATAATTTTGTTATACAAGTCAGCCTGAGGTATCAAAACTACTGAAATTTTCTTAAGAGACAATATTTTGAATAAAAAGAGGACATGCTGGCTATCTAGATTGATGGGGACAAATTTTTGTTGTCATTGTATTGCAATGTTGCTGTCATTTGTATTATACAATCCATCCTGACATCAAAATATTGCTGATTTACTATGCGGCTATATAGATTTACATAATAAAGTGCAAATATGGTCAGTTTTGGTTGATACTTTAAAATAGTTTTGTTATATGAGTCAGCCTTAGGTATCAAAACTACTGAAATTTTCTTGAGACACAATATTTTGAATAAAAGAGGACATGCTGGCAATCTAGATTGATGGGGACAAATTTTTTTTGTCATTGTGTTGCAATGTTGCTGTCATTTGTATTATGCAATCCATTCTGACAACAAAATATTGCTGATTTACTATGCGGCTATATAGATTTACATAATAAAATGCAAATATGGTCAGTTTTGGTTGATTCGTTTAAATAATTTTGTTATACGAGTCAGCCTGAGGTATCAAAACTACTGAAATTTTGTTGCGTGACAATATTTTGAATAAAAAGAGGACATGCTGGCTATCTAGATTGATGGGAATAAATTTTTGTTGTCATTGTATTGCAATGTTGCTGTCATTTGTATTATACAATCCATCCTGACATCAAAATATTGCTGATTTACTATGTGGCTATATAGATATACATAATAATGTGCAAATATGGTCAGTTTTTGTTGATGCGTTAAAATAATTTGGTTATACTAGTCAGCCTTAGGTATCAAAACTACTGAAATTTTGTTGCGAGACAATATTTTGAATAAAAAGAGGACATGCTGGCAATCTTAATTGATGGGGATAATTTTTGTTGTCATTGTGTTGCAATGTTGCTGTCATTTGTATAATGCAACCCATTCTGACAATAAGATATAGCTGCTTTACTATGTGGCTATATAGATATACATAATATTAAAAGTGCAAATATGGTCAGTTTTGGTTGATGCTTTAAAATAATTTTGTTATACAAGTCAGCCTGAGGTATCAAAACTACTGAAATTTTCTTACGAGACAATATTTTGATAAAAAGAGGACATGCTGGCTATCTAGATTGATGGGGACAAATTTTTGTTGCCATCGTATTGCAATGTTGCTGTCATTTGTATTATACAATCCATCCTGACATCAAAATATTGCTGATTTACTATGCGGCTATATAGATATACATAATAAAGTGCAAATATGGTCAGTTTTTGTTGATGCGTTTAAATAATTTTGTTATACTAGTCAGCCTTAGGTATCAAAATTACTGAAAAATTGTTGCGAGACCATATTTTAATTAAAAAGAGGACATGCTGGCTATCTAAATTGATGGGTATATTTTTTGTCGTCATTGTGTTGCAATGTTGCTGTCATTTGTATTATACAATCCATTCTGACATCAAAATATTGCTGATTTACTATGCGGCTATATAGATTTACATGATAAAGTGCAAATATGGTCAGTTTTGGTTGATGCTTTAAAATAATTTTGTTATACGAGTCAGCCTGAGGTATCAAAACTACTGAAATTTTCTTGCGAGACAATATTTTGAAAAAAAGAGGTCATGCTGGCTATCTAGATTGATCAGGACAAAATTTTGTTGTCATTGTATTGCACTGTTGCTGTCATTTGTGTTATACAATCCATCCTGACAACAAGATATTGCTGATTTACTATGTGGCTTTATAGATATACATAATAAAGTGCAAATATGGTCAGTTTTTGTTGATGCGTTAAAATAATTTGGTTATACTAGTCAGCCTTAGGTATCAAAATTACTGAAAAATTGTTGCGAGACCATATTTTAATTAAAAAGATGACATGCTGGCTATCTAAATTGATGGGTATATTTTTTGTCGTCATTGTGTTGCAATGTTGCTGTCATTTGTATTATACAATCCATTCTGACATCAAAATATTGCTGATTTACTATGCGGCTATATAGATTTACATGATAAAGTGCAAATATGGTCAGTTTTGGTTGATGCTTTAAAATAATTTTGTTATACGAGTCAGCCTGAGGTATCAAAACTACTGAAATTTTCTTGCGAGACAATATTTTGAATAAAAGAGGTCATGCTGGCTATCTAGATTGATCAGGACAAAATTTTGTTGTCATTGTATTGCACTGTTGCTGTCATTTGTGTTATACAATCCATCCTGACAACAAGATATTGCTGATTTACTATGTGGCTTTATAGATATACATAATAAAGTGCAAATATGGTCAGTTTTTGTTGATGCGTTAAAATAATTTTGTTATACGAGTCAACCTGAGGTATCAAAACTACTGAAATTTTGTTGCGAGACAATATATTGAATAAAAAGAGGACATGCTGGCAATCTAGATTGATGGGGACAAATTTTTGTCATTGTACATGTTGTTTTGCAATGTTGCTGTCATTTGTATTATACAATCCACCCTGACATCAAAGTATTGCTGATTTACTATGCGGCTATATAGATCTATATAATAAAGTGAAAATATTATGGTCAGTTTTGGTTGATGAGTTAAATAATTTTGTTATATGAGTCAGCCTGAGGTATCAAAATTACTGAAATTTTGTAGCGAGACAATATTTTTAATAAAAGGAGGGCAAAAATATTTCCAAATTTTTTAACCCTATATAAATTAACAGATTGACACACTCCCCATTTCCATTCTCAATTTTATAATTATAAGTGCAAATATGGTCAGTTTTGGTTGATGCTTAAAATAATTTTGTTGTACATGTTGTACATGTACCAGTCATCCTGAAGTATTCATTTTTAGCATTGTTTGCCGATTTTATCTGAAAACCAAGTTTATAAGATTTACGATACATGTTAAAACCGATAATAATAGTATTGTAACCAATATCGTTTTTAATTTATAGATAGGCAGATCGCGGATAAATTTGCATTACAAGCAAAGTTTTATGCGTACTTTATTTACAAATACATGTATATATATTTAATCTGTATTGTTTATATAACCATCATAGGCATGACCACGGAGATTTTAATTTTATACATTAATTTACAATATAATTGTGATCAAAATTCGTTTTTTAAATCAAATAAATAATTTTGTAGTCGCACGCTTTCTTTGAAATTTAATTGCATTATGGGTAATTTCGGATCGTGTAGATAGAATGGGTAATGGTGTATGGTGTAATGTGTAAGGTGTATGGTGCAAAGGTGTAACGTGTATGGTGTAATGGCACACGGTGTATGGTGTAATGGTGTATGGTGAATGGTGTAATGGTGTGAGTGGGAAGTTTACACCATCCAAGGACTGTACCACATCTTCTTATCTATATTAAGTAACTACGCTGCGAGTACTCTTTAATTGTTATTTTTGTTTTTGCCTAATATCAGTTTTAATGCGTCGTGCAGATATGATGAGTAAAGCCTTTTTAAACTAATATCTACCGTTTTGTCCCTAATTTGAACTGTTACATCACTGTCCCAGGTTAAGGGGAGTTGAGCTCTCATAAACATATTTAAACCCGCCACTCTATATGTATGTCCCATGTCAGGATCCTGTAATTCAAGGTTTGTCATTGGTCACTGTCTGTCATAATTATTATTCTTTGAATTTTTATTATAAATCAGATTTTGGGTTTTTCTTGTTTAAATTGTTTTACATTTTGGCATGTGAAGTCCTTTTACTGTTTACTGTACGGTTTATTTTGGGCTAGGTTGAAGGCCGTACTTTTCAAGTAAGTATTCATCCTGTTAAAAAATGAAACTTGCGTATTTTTTTGTGTTTTAATTTTACGATGTTGTTATTTATATAAGCAAAAGGGGTGGTTTCTGAACATAGAACTGGTCTAATCCTAACACATGTGTTACCTGAAACACATGTTTTTTATGGTTGATTATATTTTCCCCATGGTGTCCTAAGTTTGTGTTCTGTGTGGTCGTTTGTACTGTTTAATGTTTTGGTAACTCGAATTATCTTTATATGTATTATGAACACATTTGTCACAATTATACATATTACTTGATATAAACATTATATTTGTAGGTATTATATTTTTGGTTACTCAATATCTGTTACTTTATTTATTCAGTAATATATTTCTTTACTCATCAAGATTTTCTTCATAGACGGTTTCTGTTTAACAAAGGGTTCCTATCGATAAAGATGAGGCATGTCTTAGAACGTTTTTCACGCCCCATCATGACCGTTAACGCAAGTCTGTAACACACATGACAACGGTTATATAATACCAGATTTGACTAGTCATAAATAACGCGACGCTTGCCACTAGTTCCACACAAAATCCAATTTACTCTTCCTGAGTACCTAAATGCCGTCCCGGTCATTTGTTTGTTTTAATGTTGCTGAATCCTTGATTTTCTGGTTTGTTCAGTTGTTTTTTTCTATATTATAATGAAAAACAAAATGAAAACAAGTAAAAAATTATTGTGACCCCCTTTAATAAGAGTTTTTTTTCTTCCAACTTCTGTTTCGTCTACCACTCCTTCTGGGATAACCGGAATTGTTTATTCTACTCCATGGTCTTAAATCCAGTCTAGGAAAATTTTGACAAGGTATACGTGGAGCTCTAAAGAAAACATAAAAAGTATATTTAGTTTAAGTGATTATTTCTTATATAATATCAAAAAATAAATTGTTTCTCAAGATAACGTCATAAGTTCCTAACCGAGGACTTGATTGTAAGTTAGAAACTTCCCGCAGACATTGTATTTTGGACCGGATATGGTCAAATACATACTAGACTAGTTGGCTGCGTCCGGCTTATAGCATGAAATGCATAAGATCCTGTATTTATTCTTGACACAAAATTCATCCACATAATCGACAAATCCTTAATCAAATGAATAGCCTGCACTAACTGCTATTCTTCATTTAAAGTCGTATTGATGTTTTTATCACTGGAAAAACTCACACATACAGTAAGGTAAATATGAAAAAAAGATGGGGTATAATTCCCATTGAGACAATTCTCCATCAGGGACAAACTGACATAGACATTAACAACTATAGGTCATCGTATGGCCTTCAACAATGAGAAAAAAACCATACCGGTTCTTAATAGATATTGATATTGATTCATCTTTGCATTGCAGCTAATATATGTTGTGTTATATTTCTAATTTTTAAAGACAATAATAGGCAAGAAAATGTATCATTATTCGTTAAATCTGCATTTACATTTACTGGATATACATATACATAACTACAGAAACAATACAAATTTGAAATCAACAATCGGAAATATGAAGATTATATAATTCGAATTGATTGCTTAATAATGTCGATAAACATACATATTTCAAGCAAAAGTGAAGAAGAACATAATGACGCAGCTGTTTCGAGTATAAGTACGTACTACTGAAAAAATATTAGAGCTTTCTCTCATTTTGTTCATAAGCTCTCTGTATTGAAGTAGTTATATATCCTTTGAGCTTTGCATCTTTCAAGAAAATATGGCCCGTGACCGCTTACTTTTATTTGATATTTCAAAAGTTTTTATGAATAGCAATTCTCTAATTTAATTTTAACCTATTCTGTTGTTTAATGTTTCCTCAATGGGAACAAATAAAATGGTTACTATATAACCCATATAAAATAACTATAATTTCGTTATGTTCAATGTTTTTTAACGAAAACACAAGGTCCGTGACCCCAGTTTTTGTATTGAAATTTGAAGGTACATTGACCAAAATTATCTTTACAGAAGTTTAAGAAAAATCTATAGTGAAACATTTAGACACCCAGCTATCTTAAATGTATACTTGATACTGTTTATTCCTGTAAATTGTAAACAATTTGAACTTTTCTAATATGTTATTAGAAATTTCAATTGAGTGTCTAATTGACTACAATCATGAGCTATTCCCAAAGACATTTGTTATAACAGGATCGTCCAATACCCTGTCATACATGTAGATAACTGCATTAAATATTTGAAATGTGATAGAAAATCAATATATTCCTGTATCACATCTCTAGACATAATTTAGGAAAATTAATGTCATACAACAACGAAGTAAATGTTCTGAAATAGTTTCCTTGTTCAACAATAACGTGTTTATACGATTATTTTTTTCTGTTTAGTATTTTTGTTTGAATATCTGTGCATTTTGCTTGATATTCAACTGTTTCTTGTAGCTTGAGACCATTACACTTATATTATGTAAATAAATGCAATAAAAAGACTCAATAATCTTCTTACGTTTTCAGTTCCCTATACATAATAGAATAAATAAAAGAAACTTTGTGAGCACGCTCACATACCCAACACCCAGCATTGTCACTGGGCAAACAAAATCTCACCGGATTCCTAAGATCAAAGACTCATAACTCTTACAAAAGTCAACTGATAAAAATTTCTTTTCGATAAGCACATCTACATATTATGTGCACATTATCTACAAAGTTTCATGAAATTCTGTTGCGTGGTTTCAGAGGAGTTGCGCTGACAAATTATTGCGGATGTATTTTTGTAGGAAATTCTAAGTTCAAAGGGGCATAACGCCTAGAAATTTAATCCATAATTTCCTGTCGATATGTTGCAGTAATATATTCAGGCCTAAATTCTAAGTTCAACGGAGCATACCTCCTAGGACAAAAAATAGAATCATAATTTCCTGTCGATATTCACAACAGGAGTATGGCAACATAGTATGTCCTTTAATATTTACAAAGTTTAAAGAAATTCTGTTGTGTGGTTTAAGAGAAGTTGCGATGTCAATAACTGAAGGACGGATTAACGGACTGACGGACAGACTGACGGACATAATGACGGACAGACTGACGGAAAGAATGATGGACGGACGGGTCAAAAATATATTACACAACGGAACTTTGTTCCGTGGGGTATAATAAAAGACTGTAATCAAGCATTACCCAGTTAACGGAGACACAAACGGATTTGCAGGCATTGATTTCACATCGAGAGTTCTACAATAAAGTGCCGACAAAGACTGTCTTTTGATCTGTTCCAATTGAGCTGAAATAAATGCAAAAAATCTGTATTTAAATTTTGGGTATACCTCAATAGATTTTGGCTTCTAGTGATCCTTGCACTTGATGAATAACAGTTGACGTAAACCTTAACTGTTTACACTTGGCAATTTCCTTTATTAAAAAATTAATGCATTCATTGTCTATTGGAAAATAAGTACTTATCGATGGTAGAGAAATATATGGACCGTTTTGGGGAAATGATGTTAGAAAAAGTTATCCAATTATTTTACTGGCATTTTGATTTAAATGTATATCAAGAATAACTTATATATAAAGGATTAAATATTTATTTTAGCACTAATTTTTTTCTCCATTTTTGTTTACAATGTAATGTAAAAATATTTAATTGAAAAATAATACAGTTGAATTATCCATTAACTAACAAAAAAGTTATTTGATAGATGTTCATATAATTTCGACATAGTATTGTTATAAAAAAGGAATACTAAGAAGAAATATCATTCCCGTAGGAGAAATAAATGGTCATTTTCAGCTGTTTTTGGCTTATATTATATTGCAATTTTAGTTTAAATGTTATATTGTATAAACAAATAAAAACAAGACATAAATTGTGATTAATGAAATATATATATACTAACCAGCAGTAAAACCAGTGGGAACGAATTCGTTCTCATAAAAGAAACGGTCACCAATTTTAAACAACATGAACTGAAGTCCAATGATACATCTGAATGTTGGTCCCACCAGGGCACCTGCTACTGGTGTTTCTGACAGTCCACCAGGAAATAAATCAATATCATCAGGATGGCTAAAAAGTAGGAAAGGTGATTTCGATTAATAATATATTATCACGCTAATCATGTTTATCGTTTCAGTGTAACACTGAACTATTTCAGGAATGCAAACTTCAAATTCTGTTCTACCTGAAAATGTCTTTTTCAATATCCACATATCAAATAAACGATGAACTGTAATTTAGAAGTTCAATCTTCCAATTCATTGTCCATATATCTTTTCTAGATTGGTTATTATGACTTTAATGTCCTGCATGGAGGTAAAGATAAAACAAAACTGAGAACAATAAGGGAACATTAGATGGGGTGGGAGTAATGTGGTTGCCTCAATATCAATAGTATAGACCGCACACATGAACTATTATCATGCATATATATATATATATATATATATATATATATATATATATACTTCTATGTAGATCAGATATACAAGGAGTCATGATATTGCCAGATCAATTTGAGTATAACCCAGGACACTCGTTGATCAGAATTCTGCACAATCGATGTAGATCAGATATACAAGGAGTCATGATATTGCCAGATCAATTTGAGTATAACCCAGGACACTCGTTGATCAGAATTCTGCACAATCGGACATTTTTTCCGACTTGGTCTGACATAAATGCTTCCAGATGAAGACAATGACGTTAAATAAAGATAACCTTGTTTCAAATGTGACTGTTAAAAATCCGACAAACAGAAAACTATCAATTTCATAAGTGAGTCGATATTCATCAATCCCAACAACAACAGTGTTAAGTTTGTATTAATTTGATAAAGGCATACTATAGCTACTAGCTTGTGCATGGCATTTAAATAATGCCTTTATTTATCCGACGATCAAAGTCCCACAACTCTTGAATGACCTGTCAGAATGTTTTTTGTCAATCGACATCCGCGTTCACTAATAACAACAATTATGTAAAATTTCCAATAAATCAATCTAGCAAACTCGAGTTATGGTATAACATGTGATATCATTATTTAAATCTGATAATTAAAGTCCTGTAACTTTAAAAAACAAAATAGAAAATAAAATAAAATAAAAAAAAGAGCTTTCTTTAATCAATACCAACAATAACGTTTGATGGTTACAATTTATCAACGGACAGGGTTACATTTATACTTCTTATCAACGGACAGATCGTTTGCAATTTGATAAAAAAAAATATTGTTTTGTGTATTTCTTTCCCCAGAAAATAAATGTAAGACATCGCTATTACTTTTAAGTACTATTGTCTGATTTAGCGACGTATATAATCGCTTCTCTTATTTTTGTCATTAACTTTTGAAATGTCTGTAGGATCGATTTGAAGAAGTCTCTTGTCGTCTTTCGGTTTTATTCAGAGTTTACTGTTACAGGTATTCATTTTGTAATGCTAAATACTAAACCCTATTGCAAAAATACTTCAAATATAAGAAAATCATAAAACTCTACCAAAATTGAAGCAGATGTTTAAAAATCAATTCCAACGGACCAGTAGCCTTCTCGATCAACGGACCTCTCCTATGTAACTTCATAAAACATAGATCAACGGAATGAGTCTTTGATAGACCGAATGACGCCTATCACTATGTCAGACAGAATATTTAATAGAGAATATAGTAACATCTTCCTTATATGAATAACCAAATAAGTTAACTTTTCCGATATCCTTTTTAGTGGAAAATACGTTAGGCATATCAACATTTATAAACAAAAGAGACTAAAAACAATTAAAACACATCCCAGGAATTTAGTGTTTTAACGCCTTAGACAGTCAAAGAAGACACGACTTGTGCAATGCCAAAATAAAAGTATCGATAGACAGTAGGATAGTTGGATTTAACCTTAATATAATAAATATGTATCATGTTAAATATAGATACAGCAATCTCTAAATAGAAATCTAATGATTTTGCAATATATGAATTGTTAGGCTACATAAATCATTTGTGGCACACTCATCTTCGACAGGGTATTGATCTATTAATTTGGTTTATACTCTCAATACTACCTTAAGGAAATAACACAATCAACATAATTTACCTGTAAACGGATGATAATGCTTTTGCAGCCGAAGCATGATGGTTGGTTAAACCTAAGTGTCCTGATCCAAAATGTAAAGCAGGCTGTAATCCACAGAACTGTCGCCATCTGTTATATGATGGAACGCCATGGTCTCTACCACGCTGGATGTTTAGTGAACCAAGGTCAAAGCCGTTTCCTGGCATTGTTTGAAATAGTCTGTTCCTTATTGCTGGAGTCAGAAAACGGTCTGCTCTGCTCTTGAACTGTGTTGTCATCCATCTGGCTATTGCATCTGGACCAAATGTAGTAAAGTCTCTTATTAAACGAGTACTAAAGAAATGGTCTTCCATAGGTACCCTGGCGCGTGGTGTGAAGTCTTGGTTAAACGATTCAACAAAAGAACCAACAAGAGAATGGCCAAATCGATATGCTGCGGCTCCAAATGCATTTCTCGTAGATGGATTTGCAGAAGGATTATATAATGTATTAAACCCAAATCGATTACTTCGTAGCCCAAAAAAATTCATACCTTCTGCCCCAAGTACTATAGGAAGATATTCAGTGTAAATTATGTGCTGATAAATTCCTGTGAGAATTTTTTTTGCTTCCTGGTACAATTCTTCTCCATCAGTCCACCCCAGTGCTCTCAACCTTTCAACAATATTGTTATGCTCACGCAAAAATGCAGTATGCACGACTGTCAGCATTGGAACTTCTGCTGGTCTGTTGTCCCCTAGAAAAGAAATATTTCTTTGTTTCTATTCACAAAGGTAAAATGTATTTTTTCTCGTTTGTGTACATACGACAGACTAGAAGAAAACTTAAAAGATAGCAACGCTGATTTTACATTTTACTCTTCGTGTACAAGAATTTCATATGTCTGAAAATATCTGAAACTCAAATGTAATCAACTTCTATTCAGACGATCATATCCAATTAAATTATTTAGCGGTACAATAATTCGCTAACTATAAGAAACAGAATACCGGAAGGAAATAAGTAAAAACTATTTATTACGTACCAGATTTGAAACACTCTTCCCCTGCTAAGCATTCAGATCCTGGAGGACCAGTAGGCAGAAGTCTGTTAATGCCTTCTTGGAGTCTGCCTATACCATTAATATTAAAAAGCAAAGTGATGAAATAATTATTCAAACATTTAATATAATAATGCTACCTTAAAAATATAGTCAGTTTCAGTTGATATTTTATAGTGTGTCTTTCTATGTTGTGATGTTACATTATTGTTTCAGAAAAAGAATGAAGGTTTGGTACCATTAAAACGTTTAAACCCGCTGCATTTGTTTGCACCTGTCCTAAGTCAGGAATCTGATGTTCAGTAGTTGTCGTTTGTTGATGTGGATCATAAGTGTTTCTCGTTTCTCGTTTTTTATATAGATTAGACCGTTGGGTTTCCCGTTTGAATGGTTTTACACTAGTAATTTTTGGGGCCTTTTATAGCTTACTGTTTGGTGTGAGCCAAGGCTCCGTGTTGAAGACCGTACTTTGACCTATAATGGTTTACTTTTATAAATTTTGACTTGGATGGAGAGTTGTCTCATTGGCACTCATACCACATCTTATATCTATTATCAGACATAATTTAGAATGCGGAAACTTTTATAACTGGCAATGAGTAAAATTACACCATTTCACTCTTACTTCAGTTTTCTCTCAATCTAATCACAGTCGCGCATTTTCGAAGTTGTAGAAAGCTTAAGAACAAGTCCTCTTTTTTGTGACGATGCATTAACTTAGTAACTGCGAAGACTAAACGATGGAATCTTTTAACAGGTATGAAGTTGGAACTACATGCAGTATCTGCTTCCTAATTTTTATTGTTTAGTTTGAAGTTGACATTTTTCTCCCTTTAAAGCGTCGAAGTAAAATAGCATCATATTGTGTAAATACCTGTGTTCAATTCTCGTAAGTCATTTTGTCCATCGAGTGTGTTTCCATACGTCACAGACAGATCAAGAAAAGATGTCCTCTGATTTATTTGATTTCTAGATTCTGGTAAAACATATAAATGGTTTATTATATATAGTTAGTGTGTTTCTTTATAATATGTTAAACGATACATTTTTACAACTCTGGTTTAATTACACGAAAATCTAGAAGCAAAACTTAAAAATGAAGACCCCTCTTTTTGATCTTTGGAAAAAAATAGCGGTTCACCGTTGATTCAAGACTCGAAATAAGAGTTGCACAACTGAATTGCTACTATGTGGAACATAATCTTTGAGGATTCATTCCATAAAAAAACCTAGCTCCCTTTTGTAGAGGTACCCCCAAACATTTGTACGGAACAAACAGCAAGAAGGCGAACAATGACATTTAACTGAGAACATATCAAATTAGAAATTTTTTCAAGCGAGTTATTCAATTCCATTCACAAGTTTATTGTTATTATATATTCAATTTTAAATCTAGTACATATTTTTTTCGACAACAAATATAAGACAATAAGATGTGGTATGATGTGACAACTATCCACCAAAGAACAAGAAATAAGGGTGTAACCAATTACAAGTTACTTTACGACCTTTAATGCTGAGAAAAACTCATATAGTATGGTAAACAATAAAGTCTCATAAAGAGCAGAATGAAAAACAATTCAAAATGAACAATAACATGTACCGATATGATTCAATCGAATAAGAAAATAAATGTATTTTGCTATTTGGAACCAACAAAAATCCATTTGCCTGCAGATATGATAGGAGATAGATAATGCGATAAGAAACAAACAAAAACTCCAAATGTTGCCTGAAAAAGCAGTGTACGCTTATAAAGGCGTTGAAGAAAAGGCCAAGCGGCTATACAATGTTGTAAGAACGAGTCCACCAATCATTATCAACCCCCTGAATCTTTTTGCATAAGATGATTCACTTTTACTTCTATGATGCGCCCAGTCTTATAATTTTCTTTTTATATCCAAATGTTAAGCAGTCGTGGATATCATATGAACACGACCAGCAGAAGTAATTTGCAATATTGTTTGCAAAGTGCAATTTAAGGAGTTAAATTTGACATCATATAACTTATTTAAAATGGCTTGTTTGTTGATTATTTAGAAAATTGAAAGAGTTGATTCTGCTGCTTTATTGCATGTTCTAATGACATTATGACATTGATATTTTTACCAAAACATCAACAAATATATCACGAACACCCACTTTTAGGTTTCTTTGCAAGTTGGATTGTCGCAATCACGGAGTAGTAAACCAGTAGAGGGTCTGTGTATCGTAAATTACAAGAGTTGTGTTTGCTTTAAAATTCCGAATGTTGTTGTTGAACATGGAACGGATTTTTCAAGTAAATGCATACTACGGAGAAGGAGAGAAAGAAGAAGAAGATATTTTACATACACAAATCTCGGGACGGCAACATATTCATGTGATATGAATATGGACGTTGCTTTGGACTAGACCCACAATAAGATTTTAACGGCTAATTCATAAGGTAGTATCCCGCACTCGAGACAAGCACACTTCCACAAGACCAACGAGGCGGTTCCGGTAAGTATGAAAAAATATGTATATGTTTGTACGATTGCTTATTCTAACTTTTGCTTTGTTTTAGTCGAAAAGTTAAACTGGTTTATTTTGTTTATACTTTTTAAACAAAATTTTGACATTTGAAACATCCTTACCAGGTGGACATCCTGGGGAAACACCAAAGTCCGATCTTACAAAATGCATACAAGTAGTCTGGAAATCGCCTGGCGGAGTTCTGAAGGGAAAACACTCTGGTCTACAAAACAAATACAAAAAAAAAAACGTGAATACAGAGATGTATTTGTTTTTTAAACAATATTATAAATTGTAAGTGTCTACTTTGTGTTCACATTCCATGTACAAATTGAAATGTTCAAACTCTCAAAATATATTTTAAAAATTCGAATATTTAAAGGGTTCATGAGAGAAATAGCAAACTATTTAGTTGTAAAAAAATATTAACACAAAGTATTTTAGTTTATCATGTCCAATTAAAATGTTGGTTTTCAGTTATGTCTTCGGACTTTATGAATTATCCCTAAATTATTAGTGTAGATTATTGTGTTTTTACCAGTTTGGTTAATTTGACATGGTTAGCATAATGTAATTAAATGCTAAAGTGTAATCCAATATTCCTGAAATGTCTAATCACAGCTTTCTGGTATAGTAGTGTGATATGAAAACTCGAAACTTTCAAGTTGGAACTAAGTGATGTCAGGTTTGAAGTGAGAAATTTCGTTCTATTATGAACAAGATTGTATTTCAAGAAAGTTTTTCACGCCCAATTAGTATTTTCATACATTAACTGAGAAAAAGTTATATTCCTGCATTTTAATCACACTTGCTTACACGAATTATGTTGTAGCTGTATGTAACTGAACTAAAGACATGGAGATTTGTAATGATTTTAATTTGATTAGCACATAATTGAAAGAACTAAGAAAAATGCAAAATACCGTTTAGGGACTGGTTATTTGATTTTCATCCAACCAAATGGTTTGCTTACAAGCATGCACATTACACTGAAATTACCTGACAATCGGAACATCTCCATTGCAGCAGACTATATCTTGGTCACCATCTACAAAAATATAGTACAAACAAATTTTTATTACACAAACAATTATGATACATAAAAAACGTTAACATTGACCTTAGATATATACTTGGGATATATGTTTCTTATACTAGTTTGATTTACCAGTTTATAAAGTGTATTTGTAAACAATCGACTTAAGTACACCCAATGTTCATTTCCATTATTTTTGCACCCAAAAAAAAAAAAAAAAAAAAATACCATGAAATTTTTAAACCCTAACGTAGCAGTGCTGTCAAAAATGATCTGTTCAGGATGTCTAGATGTAAATTATTTGAGTAACATGGTCATATTAATACAAACATTAATGTTATAGCAAAAACATTTTCGCTTAAAATATTATTTGTCTTTTTGGAGTCTTTTTATACAGAAACAATTTAAAAATTTACCTTTAAGTATAGGTGTTGATATGAAATCGTGGTCGACAAACTGTCCAAAATGAGTTAAGGATATACTATAAATTCTACTTCTAGGAGGTGATACACCACCATTTAGGACAGCGTTAGATATGTCACGTGGACTAGGGAGGAGGGATCCAAGCACACTACGTATACGTGGAACAGAGCCAGTGTTAAATGCTACAATGAAAAAGACATGTCAAAACTGTGTTGTATATGTATATCAATTTACATGTATACATATTTCATATCGAATTGAAAACAGGAGTCAGAAACATTTTATAAAAGACTAAAAAGCTAAACTCAATACTAAGCAAGACATTACTGGTAAATATTTGAAATATGATCAATGAAATGTTGCATAGTTATTTTAATACCCTTTAGTTTTTTCAACTCAGTCGAAATAATAAACTTACGATCTCCGTATGTAGGTGAGAGAAATCTTGCTTGATTTGTTATAGAGGCTCCCCATAATGGATTGTTTAAGTTGTTGCAAGAGCCATCTGCTGTTCGATAGCGGTCGTTAGGATTACATACAGGGCGACGAACTGGACAATATGGAGCAATCTGTCTGCTGAATTCAGCTGCATCGGGTGTAGCACCTCCAGTTCTGTAATTTGATATATTTATATGTGACATAAGAAGGATGTGGGGTTTGGTGAACGAGTAAACATGTTTGTTTTCTCAGATAATCAATTGATTTGATTTTCAAATAAGAAATTATTCATTCAAACGGTAATAATTATCATTGTTTCATTCATTTGCTCATTTATTATTTTGTAATAAGCAAGTCTGAAATTAAACATACACGCTGGTAAGTTTAAAATTGTGTTATTTTTATGGACATAAGAGAAGACATGGGGTATACACCAATGAGGTAGCATTATTGCGTAACTAAAAACCAAAGACTATATATCAAGAGGTCAACGTGCATTCCTCAAGAATAGATATATATGTATGTGTGTACTTGTAGATACTTCCGTTATTCGGATCACTCCTGGAGAGCTGCGATGGTACAGTGGAATTCGTGTACACTCCATATTGGGATCAATGGAGATGTGTCATTAACATATTTACAAGGAAAATCTCCACCCCAACACAAAGGGAGTGCTAGAACAAGCTTTGACTTGTTATCAATGAAAGAGTAAAACAAAAAGTAAATTCAATGACCGTAAAATTTTGCAATACATCTAAATAGAAAAAAAATATGAACACAACAAATTCGAGGGAAGGGTGGGTTGGGTTAACACTAACCCGTACCTTACCCTGACAACAGTCAAATTTCTAAACCTCACACTAAATCAAAACCTGGTAACTTGAAGCAAATAAATGCCCGAGGGGAGCTACCAGAAGCAATAATGTTTGTATAAACAAAGAGACAATATTGATAAATTTCTATCTCATATATCAAAACCACGTAAAAAAAGATAAATAGGGCGTAGGTACCTATAAAGAATGTTTAAGGGATAATTAATTGATTTTCCTCTCATGTTAGAAAAAGATTGATTGATTCATTAATTGTTGTTTATTGCCACTTTCAGCACTATTGTGCTATTTTGTGGCGGTCCATTTTTTTTGTGGAGGAAGCCGGAGTGGCCGGAGAGAAGCCAGCGACCTTTGGTTGGAAAACTTACAATCCTAGTCAACTAAGATTTGAGTCGAGTTTCTATGTTATGGAAATTTGTACAGTTGCTGATTTTTTTCAGAAATTTCTAATAAAGACTCTTTTGTAATGTGATTTCAATAAAACTTGCACATTTTCGATTTTGACTCAACACTTTGAAACAATGAGAACATTTTGAGAAACAAATTGATTAGCTTAAATTTTAACAATCATTGTACATGTACATATATAGGTAAGCTTTTGTTAATCAAAATTAATTTCAAGAGTCAAATTGCGGAAAAAGTATAGTTTTTTTTTTGTTAAAGGTTTTTTGATTCATTGAGAAATGGAAAAAATAGCTGAATACATCAACTATTGGTACTGGTTTTAAGCTTCATTAGTTTTTTTTTATACAGCACATACATGTTTCAGGAATGGTTTTATTTAAAACAAAAACCTGAGATTCATTATGACATTATGCATAAGAAAGATTATACGAAACTTTCAATCAATTAAATCATGGTGCAGAAACAAGTTGTGTCACCGCTTTTGTAGATATATGTTACATCTATGTTGCACCATTGACAAAACCAAAATCATTAAATTTTGAATCATAAAACCTCTTTTCGTCCGTTTATATGTGCTGCAATGATTTTTTTCACTAGGAAACGACCATTTGATTTTCGAAAAGGGGGAGGGGGGGGGGGGGGTGTTGGATGAGGATTTAGAAAAAAAATGTTTGCCTTGTCTAGGCCTGGTATATATGTAAAGCTGAAAATAAATGATTTTGCCCAAGTCAGACTTAAAATGAATAATTTGCGACACGAAATACCAGAATTTATTGTGAACAAATGTCTGATTCAAATGATTGTCCCCTACTGATATTGTGAGATTGCATGGATATAAAAGAACAAACACATTTTAAATAAAGGAAATAGATTAGATTAAAATCATAAAGCATATTATTAAAAAAAAATTAAAACATTGGTAAAAAGGTCCTTGTTCATAGCACCCGTTGTCAATATGCATAACCGACAAAATAATTAGCAATTGTGTAAAATATATCAGTATCAAATGCTTACAAAAAAAGACAATAGATTCATTTCCAAAAAGAACGATGTTTGGCGGTAGAAAAATTATCTGTTAAACAGATAAGTGTGAAATGTTCTGGTAAGTTTAGAGAGATGTCCTGCATAGTTCGCCTTCAGGTTATTTTGATTGCGAAACTTGAAAACGTTATCATCACTTTTTTATAAGCACACATCTCATGGAATTAATGTTAATATAGTAATGGCATACGTACTTTAAGTCTTCTAACTATGTTATTAATTATAGTTATCAAGTAAGCATAATTTAACTCACGGCTGCATATACTTGTCACATAATTATGTAAATGATTAGTGCATAAATAAGAAGATGTGGTATGAGTGCCAATGAGACAACTATCCATCTAAGTCACAATGTGTAAAAAGTAAACAATTATAGGTCAATTAAAGTAGTCTTCCTTAAGATTACATTACCTACATTTAAATAACATTAATGTGAAAACTAAAGAGTTTGTTACATTACATGGAAAACATACATTCTGAAATATTATTCCTTCATTTAATTAACTTATTCACTTTATTTAAAAAAAGAACAATATACGAACTACCAAACTGTTTTTCTTCCTTCATTTTATTGTGTATATAAGTTGGAAGCCCCTGAAAATCCTTTTCATATATTTGTATAATAAGTTTTAATATAGTGACATTTTTTTTTAACCTCCTTTGAAATTAAAATACGTTTTGTACATCTATCTGCAAGTACACTAAATCTTTTAGTCTGAACAAGTATTTAATGGATACATTGCGAACCAAAAAAGTACAAAGAATAAGTATATAAAATAATCACAAGTGACCTCCGTTTGTATTGAGATAAGTATCACACTTGGTGACTATTCATCTTGATACTAACGCAGTTTCACGGGATTTATTTATAATAGAGGGTCTTATAGGCATGAAACAACCATTTTGTACAGAAATTTAACGGTTCACAATTTTGTTACATTGTATATAATTTCATGTAAAACATGTAAAATGGCAAAACCAGTATGATCGTTGTAAAGATCGTCAGTTTTGTTGACGAAAAAAAAAATACACGTAAAGTAGTGATTACTTAAAACGAAATATGTCTATAATATACCTTTTGTTTCAGAATGATACTATCGTTCACACACGCTGTAAACGTTCATACGCGAAATGGCAAGTCCCACACGTTAACAACACAGCACACTTGCTATCAGTCAATTTCGTTTATGAACGAAGTGGAAATGAACGAAACACGGCATTGACTCAAACGAAATGAACTGAATTCGGAATGAACGAAACACGCAAACGGAATGAATGAAAAACGGAACGAAAACGAAAGAACGAGAACGTTGAATGGTTAAGTAGCTGTAACTACAATTCCGTTATTGCTCCATTTTGATTAAATAGGAAGCTGGTATTATAAAAGTTGTATTTGGAAATTAAATTATATATTTTGTTACACTGTTGTTTTTAATTGACTTTAGACTATTCTTTTAGCGTTATTTTATTTGGCATCCATCGTCAATCAGTCAATAAGCAAGCTAGCATAAGCTGTGGTCCGCATCCCAGAATCCAAAGCAAAAGTGTTCCTGCTACATTTGGTCCCACGATGTGAATGCAGAACTTGAAAGCAACTTTGCTAGTTTATTACTGAAAACTGAAATGGAGCAATGTAGGAATATCATAAAAGTTTATTAATCATGCTTTATTTTGAGGAAAAGCCCTATTCATTTGACGGTGTCAGTATTGATATTACCGGTTATTTTGTACATTTTGAGACAGTTTCTCTTTGGAATCAGTGGAATGATTTTGAGGTGGCATGTCAATTGATAATGGATTTGAGAGGCAATGCTCAAACTGTTTTACGTTTTCTTTAAAGACCACAGTTGTATGATAATGACTGCTTGAAAAATGTACTCATTCAGAGGTTCAATCCTTAAGAGAGTGTGGCATATTTTGAATTTCAATTAAGACTTTGTAGTTTGAAGGAAAACGAAATAATTTCTGAGTTTGGTCAGCGTTTATAGATATAAGTTGATAATGCTTATCTTGATGATTTTTTGCAGATTTAGATGTGTATTTTACTGACTTATTCACTTCATGTTTGAATATTGAGATGGCTACATTTATCACGTTCAGGCTCCCTCATAGTTTAGATGAGACTTTATAATTGGATATGGTATATGAAGCTGTTCATTTTTCTGGTGATCCACTGACAGACTGTGGATAAGACAAAAAGATCAACTTGTTGTCATACTGTTCATACAAGTCTTGAAATTTTGATTAATGTTTTGAAGAAAGAGTAAAATCACAAAGGAAACCTAAACCTAAGAAGTGTCTCAAATTTCATCAGTCAGGTCATGTCAGGTCTAAATGTCAAATATGTCTAAAAAAAAGTTACAGTTTAAAGGTCTGCAGAAAATCAAGTGAATTTCCCCAAATAGACGATATGAAAGAACGATTTGAAACACATATATTGTAGTTCAGATTGTGTTACCTTTGTTTAATGCTTGTTTTTACATTATGTTGCATGTTTACTTTAGGTTTATTTCAGTGTACATATAGATGTCACATACCTCAGTTTGACTGTTTGGCTTTTCTTATTCCAAGAAAAGGATGCGGTGCAACTCGCCTTGATTTTTTAATATCAATTACTTTATTCATCATGGCTCAGTAATCTTATGTGCAGTTTGAAGTGTAGAACGTTAGCAAGTATTAATAGGAATTGGTTTGTTTTATGGGTTGCTGCTCATTTTTCTGGATTGCATGAATTGTAATCTCTAGCTAAATATTTAGTATTTAGAGAGTTTATGGAAGTCCGACTACTTGACTTTTTTTAGTCATGGCAGAAACCAATAGAGTGAAAGTTAAGCCTGAAGTTAGGAACACTTCAAGCGCATACAGATTGACCCGATCCATTATTCAGTACCTTGTACACCATTTGGGCATCGTTCGTTTTTAATTTGAGAACTTTTGCAAAAAAGCTGGGCATCGTCCAATTTTATTTTGTGAAACTTGCATACAGATGGACCCGATTCATCTTCGGTGGCACAACGTTTGTGTTACCGTTATCAACAACGTACGTTGGACTGCAATAATATAACCCGGTGGTACACGTCAAATGTGCAACTGTGAGATTAACATTGGTGGACATTGCCTGGTACAACTTTTTATTAATTTTAACATTATCTGTTCTGTTAGAGTATTCGTAATATCACCGAAGACTGCATACCAAGAAGACATAAAGATCGCGTCTTTTAACAGATGAACCTGATTCTGATTCTGATATGTGCTTTGTGTATGTGTTATACAGTGACATGTTTTTCAAGTGATTTCATATTATATAATTACAAATAAGTTAAATTTTATTGACTTTGATGCTTATAATTTGTTTCAAAAAGACATTTATTTATATTCAGAAATATATTCGCCTTGTTTTGAAAAGTTTAAAAATCTTAATGACCAAAATTTAGAACCTTTGCAGTTATATATGTAGGACTCAAATCTATGGTGGATTCTAGATATATGGCAAATTCCTAATCTAGGGTAAACATGATGTCACAAATGCCAAACAAATCATAAATCTATGGACGATTTTTATTTTCTCCAAATCTATGGCAGATTTTGATAGTACGTATTTTTCCGGGAAGAAGAGTAAACTATAATGTTCACGCCTCCGCTAACGATGACTGTTTTGTTATATAGAAGGAAAGGAAAAGGCCAGTTTCAAGGAACCTAATCCATAAATTAAATTATATTTCAGAATTCGAATTTACGGTAACGGAAATCCCTACAAATGAGAAGATGTACTCATCTGATTCGGATGATATACGAATACTACCGTTCAAACCCATAGTCATTCGTAGCAGCATAATCGCTGGTGCAGGCAATTTCACGCAAATGAATGATTATGTTTTTGGTATTTCGGTGTTTATGTTTCGTGTTTGTTTCCGGTCCTTGCTTTCTTATCCTCGTCTTTGTATCTGGTATTCCCTAGTTTCTTGATTTTACGAGTTTTTACTGTGAGTTTGAAAAGTGTTTTTCTTTTCATTCATTATCTATTTTTATGCTATGCTATTTTTTTGTTATTTTTTTTTATCCCTATGGTACTCTTCAAGTTTGTTTTAAACATAATCTATAGCATTTTTCAGCTTTATTACAGCGACTACCTGTATACTATTGTAGCAAATAATCTTTCTTGAGATTAGAAACTAAAATAAAAAATCGGTCATAGATTTCAAATAACTATTTACATTTTGTTCAGCTATATTTATGTCGAGTACCTGAACTGTAATAGAAATTAGGCTATTTTGAATTAGCCACTTGTTTGAGGCAAGTCATTGGTCATTACAGGGCTTTGACTTAAATCGTCATCAGTTCAAAAAGATTTATAAACGCTCCAATGAATATTAGGTAAAAAAATCAAACTGTTTAATTCTTTTCATACAAACTGCCTTTTGGTTGTTAAGGGACTTGGTTAAATGACAGGGTCAACAATGTACTATGCACAGAATAAGCATGTCCTACTCTGTGCATAGTACATTGTTTGACAGGGTCAACAATGTACTATGCACAGAGTAGGACATGCTTATTCTCCCGGAGCACATCATTTCAAACCTAAAGTCTATGTTAGTGTATGTCACTTCCTTACGAAGAAAATTTTTATGGTTGTCATCACGATTTGGTTGACTATTATTCAATGTTCATTTCACAAATGGTTATGGATATGCTCCCGTTGTCGTACCTCTTATCTGTTTTTCTTATACTGGCTTTACTTAAAGCAGCTTTAGCGATACCCTTTGGACATTTCCACTTATTTAAAGCAACTTTGAAATCATTGGTCAGATATGAACTGACTGGTCTTCCATTTGCAGAAAATCTGCCATAGATTTGAAAACTAGAAATCCACCATGGATTGAAAACTAAAAATTCGCCATAGATTCCGATTCTAAAAATCTGCCATAGTTTGGGATGGCATGACGTCATATTTACCATAGATTAGGAATATGTCATAGATCAGGAACCCACCATAGATTTGAGTCCTACATCTATAAAGTATTTTGTTAGCTTTATCAAATTGTCTGAGGATTGGCTTCCAGTCCAATTGTAGGATAGCCGAGCTTATCCAAATATCCGAATTCCATTTCTATATATTGGAGGTTTATATGCTTAAAGTTGTATTCAGAAAAAAAATTATATTTCATATTTGTACTGTTTTCGTTTCATTTTGTTTAGATAATTTTAGCGTTATTACATTTTGTATCCATCGTCAATCAGTCAATAAGCTGTGGTTCGCATCCACGAATCCCCATCAGAATTGATCCTGTTACACTCGTATTTACAATTTCAAATTTTGCCACAAAAAGTTTTTCCCAACGTATAAAAACGAAGATAATTCGAATATGCCATAAATATAATCCTGTGTTTTCTTGCACATTGAATATTTTCAATTCTTTACTGACGTGTTATATGAGCTTTGATAAACGAATTATGATAGTGGAAGTTTTAGCTGCGTCAAGTGAAAAATTGACTGCTTTATGTAGTAGGCTAACACTGTGTTTGAAATTATATTATTCGGACTTGGTAGCGATTTTTCAATTTTTCAGTTTATAAGTTTTAGTGTAAACATATTTTATTATAGAATTCGTGATGTATAGCCGTCTCATTTATTAAAACCCCACGTCTTCTTTATATTCTGTAGCAATAAAAAAAATTACTTAGATCTCATGAAATGTACAGTCATCGATACAAGAATGATATTTCCACGAGTTAAATGTTTCTTAGCGTGATTCTTGAACATCCAAGAAATTTGATCTCATGATTTGTACGTTGCATAGGAAGTTGTTATATCTAAATTTTGCATTTTTATGTTTTTCCAAATCATAACATATGGAATACTTTATATTTGTTTTACTAGATTAATCTTTACGTGTTCAAAATTTAGGCTACTGGAAATTCCATCAACAAATTTACAATCGAAACATCTAAATCAAACATATAAAAACCTTGTGGCAAAGTTAGAAGTTGCAGTAGTTGATATATCTCCCGCGGAGCCAAAAGCTGCAACTGCCCCTGGGGCTTCTCTTCTTCTACTGAACAAAGCATGGATAGATACTGGGTTGTCTGCTACAGATCCCGATCCCGGGGCGGCAACTCCACCAAGTCCACCACCGGCACCACCAAGTCCACCGACAGCACCACCAAAACCAGCACCACCTCCAGCAGGACCAGCACCTGAATAAATATGATAATGTAATGTCTGGAATGAATGCTTAAATACATTATATGGATATAAAATGTAGTTTTAGATATAGACATTTAAAATGAATAAATGAATTATTGTATTATTGCATTAAAGATTAAAACAAATATTTGTTACTTAATTCAGCAACATATAAATCTATTAATAAATTAATTACCAGATGCTAGCGCAGGTCCACCAGGTCTTCTGGCACTCACTTCCGTTACTGCATCAGCGATTGCTGCTGAAATGTCTCCTGGGCCTTGCGCGTATGCGAAAAGTGTCGTCTGAACAAGAACATAAAGAAGAACATACCAGAGCCCATTCATTGCAAGTTTCCAAGAAATGGTTTAAATTTCTGTAAAATATGTATATATTTAAACAAAATCGGCTTTTTTAGGTAAAACTCTTGCTATTCATCACAGTTACCACAACATACACATCAAATACAACTTGATGAATAGCGATTTTCACAAAAACATTATGATAAATCATACCAAATGTAAAACGTCAGAAGAATAAATCCACTAAATAAAAAAGGAAAAGATTGATTTCTTGTTTATTGTTCAATGTTTAAAAATGAAAATTGTTATTTAATTTCATGCAAATTTTAAAGTAAACCCCCATATGCTATGTGTAATACATGAATCATCTTCCTTGTCACTAAAATTTAAGAGAGATGTGACGATTTCCCCTGTGTTTGTTTCAATCACAAGGTCAGGTCAAAAGTTGTTAAATCTTACTGGAATTTTAATATAAAGAAGTCTATGTAGTGTACTTCAAACTTTTTTTCAATTTGACATAGCTCCATAAAATCAAGTTTTATATAGCGCAACATATTTCTGTTTAAAGCAATTTTGCCTATGTTTCTCTTTTTGTTGTTGTATATTTTTCCATCAGCGGACATCTATAACCAACACCAATCAATTTGTATCTGTAAGACAATAATTTTAAAAATATTTGTATCATTTATTTTGTCATTGGTTAATAGATTGTCTTCTCATTCATATTTTGATAAAGCTTTATTTTGGCGTTTATACTTTGTTAAATAAATTTAGAATAAACCACATGATCATTAATGTACATGCATGAAGCTGTGATACTGTAAACTTGTTGAGATTAAAACACTTTTGAAAAATGTTCATCTCAAGAAATAATTTCATGGGGAAATTGGCCTTAAATTTTTCTTCTCAAAATATGTGTCCCTCAACGCTAGATAAAATTTTTTACATAAAGAAATATATTCAAACAGTGTCCAATATGGTTGCAAAAAAACGTAAAATTTGCAATACAGTCACGTGAAAAAAATAACTGACGCAAACTTTTGACCACATTTATGTCAGCATATAGGTGATATGAGAATGTAACGTTAGTCTCGCAAAGGAAGGCATTACCAGAAGTAATACTGTCGTGTTCGGACAATATATACAGGACTGCACAATTCTTTTCGTTCAGAGGTAAAACGTTGTAACCAGCAACAATTTTTGGTTTTACATGAAGTAGAACACATTACTGTAATAATGCTATAAAAAGTCTATTAAAACCAGTGTCAAATCGACATTTGATATTTGTCTTTTTAGGTTGCCTTTGGTTTTATGACCCAAATTAAAACTTGACAGGAACAGTGGTGGATATTCTGTATAAGAAATTTTCTTATTCCGATCGAATCTGATACAAACATTGCATAGATAAACAGAAACAAATTTATAATCTATATCACGGATTGAATGTAAATAATCCGAATTTAATATTCCGATTAATCTACGTTCGTTTTTTTTTTCAGATATGGCTTAGATGCACACGTATTAAAAAAACAGGTTAAATGCGCGCACAACTTTAAAGTAATGTACAAGAATTTGAAACTTGTGCGCATTACTTTGAAACTGATCCACACGACTTTAAAACTGTCGTGCTCGACTTTCAATCTGGTGTGCAAGACTTTGAAACTGGTGTGGAGCACTTTCATCTGGTGCGATCTACTTTATATCTGGTTCGCACCACTTTTAAACTATTGCGCACGAATCTTAAACTGGTGAGCTCGAATGTCCAATAAAAATGTAATTTTTTCTCCAAATATTGATATGATTCAAATATGTTTGTTTTGTTTGTTGGAATTCGGATTAGGGTTGGTTTGTGACAAAATATTCCATATACATGTCAATATTATGAGGTATAGTTGGTTATGGTCAATAATATTTAAGTAATCTGCTCATACACTTTCTTTATCATTACTATCTTAATATCAACGAAAAATTAACTTTTTCTTGATATAACAGATCTCTAATGAGATATGAATCAAATTAACATCACAAGCAGGTCAACATTTATTATATAATTCTGGACATAATATAAACATCTGTTCGTATACAACTTGACAATTAGCCTTTCTTTCGGACAGTCCGATATTTGGCTATAATAATCAAGAAATTTACGCTGCCATAGCATCAACGAGTACTACTTATAAGCTTGAATTAAAGCTGGCTCGCCAAAATGCGAATATTCCCTTAATAGAAAAGTTTTTACGACTTTAAAAACTTTGAAATGTTTAATAAAACTTATATAATTAATATAATTAATTGAATATTGATAAAAAAATCTTGTTTAAAAATAATTGCTGTTTTAATATTTAGTAAGTAATTGAAAATTCATGTCTAATTTTATTATTGTTCTTCAATTTGTTTTAACGTTCAAATTATATTTCATCTTATATCGTTACTACTTTTTCTTTCCTTTTCTTTATCAAAAAGATCCGAACCTCTTCTCACTGGGTGTTGCCGGCCTGTCTCTACAACGACAAAAATGCCTTATACCATCTCGGGCATTGCAACCTGCTATTCTCCCCGAAATGAAGAAATCTAGGTTCTGCTCTCACAGAAGTTGTTCTTCTGTTGAGAGTTAGATAGAAAAACTCAAGTGAGGACTATGTTACAGTGCCACACACTTCATTTAATTTAATTCTTGTTTACCATAAATGCCGGAAAACCTTAAAAGCGGATACCAAACATCTTTTGGAGATGTGAATTAAATATAAACAAGACACCAAGCAACATGCCCAGGATTCAAATCATTCGGACTGACACACTGTTTTCGTGACTTTCGGACAGTATCTGTTTGTTTTTAATAAGTGATGATTTTTTCTGACATTACTTAAAATGCATGATAATACAACGGTAGCAACAATTTAAAGGATAACAAAGAACTTTAATAGAGCTCTGGAATATTATAATGCATTATTTTCAAAGACACAAAGCACAGTTATCATCATTAGTGACACTAGGAACTAAAAAGTTATATTGTTGTGTATTTTCATTTTAACGTATATTTTCATCAACTGTAAGTAAACCAAAATTTAAAATTTAAATGTATGTAACTTTTGAATATAAATCGTTATTTAAAAATTTCGGCTATGAAACAAGATGTTTATTTTTATTTTCATAAATCGTTTCATTTCAGATTCTGTGAATTTCAAGCAATAGTTTATACTTAAATTCTGTTAAAAAAATAACTGTCTTATTCAATTGTGATAAAATCTTGTAAATTGTAATACGAAAATCGTTATTACATGGAATAGCTTTGCAGGATGATAATAATTTAAAACTTTAGTTTGTTTTTTCAAACGCGTGTCAATTATCAATTTGCCTACAATCATTTCTAAGTAACATTTCATTTTATTCTTAGAGCTGAAATTTATATAATATTATCAGATTATGTTACATTTCTGATAGTAAGTAAGTGAAATATTTGAAGCAAGAGTAAGAGTTGTCTTGTTGCCATCACATAGAGTAAGAAGACATATATATATATAATTAGCTATAGATATAGATATAGATAAATGATCACATCAATGTATAAGCATCGACTACCCAAAAAAGAAGGGACACTCCAATTGGCCATCATAAGGGTTAATATTTTTAAAAAGTATACATAAGCATTGGTTACTAGTACCTCAGAATAAGAACACCACAAACGGATTCAAATATAAATAAGAAGATGTGGTATGAGTGCCAATGAGACAATTCTCCATCCAAGTCACAATGTGTAAAAAGTAAACAATTATAGGTTAAAGTACGGCCTTCAACACGGAGCTTTGGCTCACACCGAACAGCAAGCTATAAAGGGCCCCAAAATGACTAGTGTAAACCAATTCAAACAAGGAAACCAATGGTCTAATCTATATAAAAAACGAGAAACGAGAAACACTTATGAACCACATCAACAATCGACAACCACTGAATAGTAACTTAGAGATTGTAAAAAGCAAGATTTTCTGTTCAATGTATTTTCAATGACTTCATCATAATTTATAATGTTAGTAACATTTTGTTGAAGTAATTACATGCATCTTTTAAAATTTAATATTATCAATGTAACCAGGTTAAGATATTACAAATGTATATTATGCTTGTTTAGCTGTTCCGTTCTTGCTTAAGTTTTTTGTTATATATAAAAATAATGAAAAATAAAATATACCAAAAAAATTAAGCAAGCAGAGAAAAGCTAAACAAACATAATATAATATCCTAACCTTGTTACGTATATCTGATAAGGTATATGTTTATTGCCATTGTTTGCAGCATTTAGTATTTTATTTAATCTGAAGTTAATTGATGACACTAATTTTTTATTTATACAATTTTTTCTTAACGAGGTCAAAATGCAATGTCTAAGCTGTCGCTTGTAAATCTAAATCAATCCATTGTTTAGTAATTATATGTATCAAAATAAAAGCTTAACTAACAGACCCCGAAACAATTTAAATAGTAACAGAAGAAGGCATTATAATTCAATTCTACCTACTGTTAGTCCTTTTAGTCAGTTTACTGCTTAATTGGAAAAATCAAATTGATTCTCAATTTCCTCGAATTTAAACAACAAATGATATTGAAATTTATCATCGAATGGACTATATGTTGCCAAAGCAGTCAATTGTAACACAACTAATTCTATTTAATTGATGTATATAACAACTAAAAAAAAACCCAAAAAGACCGTGAATTTTTCCTTGTAAATACATCACTTAAATGTAGATTAAAAAAAAAAAAAAAACCACACAAAGAAAATAAGTATAAACATAGCGGTTTATAAATGAACGCATATCTATTATGATCATTATGCACTCAATACTCACAACAAGATTCATTATATGTGGAAAAAAATCGGTATTAATGAAAACTTAAAACCTATATGTAATGACTATGAGCAATTTGTGGTGGAAGGGAACTGGTGTGAATTGACATGTCATGCACTATTTGACATATAATTTGTTTTCAATGAGGATCTGAATAGGGAGAAGGGTAGGGGTCTTTCCTTTATTTTATATTTGTTTAGGCCATTTTCTTTAAACATTATTTGTTTGTC